CTGCGTTGCGCATGTCTGCGATCGCCCGCGATCGAGCTTCGCCAATGACAGGGCTGGAAGAGGTGGCGTACTGGGTGGAGTATGCCGTGCGACACGGTACAGATCACCTCAAGCCGCGCGCTATGCAACTATCGTTCGTTCAGTACTACCTGCTGGATGTTATTGCAATCACTGTCGTCATGGTTACCATCATGTGCTTTTGTTTTGCAGTGTTCCGTAGAAAGATGTTTAAAAACAATTGACAACTTTTATCTGGAAACATTGCAATATTGCAACATGCCGGAGGATGAGAAACCTTGAGAGGTCGTATAGGTGTAGTTTCCTGACGTCAGTCCTGTTTAGTTTTATAGGAAATCACAGACATTTGGGCGGGAGGGGAGGACGGTTCCCCCTCCCCACTGGTCACACATCCAATTTTCCAAAATTTCCAATGACATTTTTTAAACGATGCTTTGGGCTCACATCTCAATCTCGCTCTTTCGTAATTAAGCGTTCATTGGTCACGAAAGCTGAACTTCGGCGCGGTAAAACAATATGATTTGAGGGCTAGTTTTCCCATGACCAAAAAAAAACCCCGTTACATCTCGAAAAAGAATATTTTATCAAGTTATTGTATGAACTGTTATTCATTTACTGTGATTCAAGTAACTATCGATACCTAGGCATGTAAAGCATGAGATAGTTTATGTCTTCCGTCGCTGTGTATTATGCTGGTACCTATAGGTAGATAGATATGCAGGTATTTGGGTGTATCATTCGCCACTTCGTCTGTCACCACTACGGTATCTTTGATTTTATACGAAGATTTAGCATTTAAATGCATTAGATCTGTTTATTCTGGTTCTCTGTGTTAACGATGAGAGACGTGAATCATCGACAAATAAATCCTGAGGACTATGTCATGAAATACTCATCTGTGGTCGTAAAACACTTGCAACGCTGTTATAATGGCCGGCCTCGACTCACCAATTCCGGTACAAGGCCTCCGCTTAGTACGGGTGGGGTCTGAAAAATGACACAATAAAAAAAAGACAAGACTACGAACATTCTGACAATGTCTAATACTTGGACTTCAGGATCACGGTTTCATAACGTCTTTAGGTGTTTTTCAAACACTAGAAGAACTGAACGCCTTGGACCAACCGTCTTTTTTTGTATAGGATTTGAGTGACGATTATAAGCAAAGGATTATGGGATGTTTTATGTATAGTGTTGTACTACTTTGTGTCTTTTTAGGGCAATGGTGAAATAAACATGTGTGCAAACAACCCCCCCCCCAAGTATACCAAGAAAGGGAAAAGGAAAACCTAATTAAGCAGATTACACCTTGGCACAGTTACATGTATATAGCAGACTTGCAATTTCAACACACGCACAACCAATCAAACAAGTTAAACGAACATGTGGCCAAGACTTGCATAATTATATGTGTAAGGAATTATAGCTGTCTCCTTTCCTTAGATAATCAGACAATCATTAGAGCCAAATTGTTGATAAATCTTCGAGTCAACACGTAAATTACTTAATAAGTAATCCAATGATGCACATTTGGTGAAACGATACATGCTAAAGGGCTTGCCGTGTCGAATAAATTTGCTGAGCTGAATCGCGTTAAAGCCGTGCTATTGCGTTAAAGCCGTGCTATTACCGTGTTGAACTTTAAAAATTGAAATGTTTGAATCCGGCAAGGCGGTAGCAGAGCTTATAGGTTTGGCCTAAAGCTAGTTAATTGGCCTCCTGCGCCAAGAAAGAGAGAGAATTTCATGGCAAAGCCCTCTTCGCCAGGGTTCAGTAACACATTCAGTCGAACAGTCAAATTTTATATTATAAATGAAGAAAAGATACTAGCAAAACTTACACTCACAAACTGACACAACACACCCTAACCTCAAAAAGACAAAAAATTAAAACAAATAAATACTAAGTATACAATTACCAAAGACATTCCTACAGCCTAACCTTTGGATGATATTACAGGATGAAATATTTAAAAAGAAACAGAAAGCAGTACGAACGCTGGGAACCCCATAAACAACTCCTTCAAGACGCTACAGTGGGAGACGCGCTTAGTAGATAACAGATTACGTCACAGTAACAATGAAAACCTTAACTTCTCGTTTTACGTTGCTATTGAAAGCATGGATAGCATTTGGAATGACTGCGTGAAACGACAACGACTTGTCTTAGGAACACAGTCAAACACCTGACCAGTTGTAGTTAAAACAAGCGTGAAGTAGGTGTGTGGGATCATGCATTATACTATGAATATTCAAAAGAATGCGTTTCTCATACAAACTACAAATAGAAGGAAGATCTGTTTGGATTACTCGTTGAGCAATTTTCCTTGGTCTTTCAAGCTTCTTAATGCTTTCTTGTGATCATAGGTTGCCAAAGGTACACAAAAAGCTAAACGTAAGAACGTTGTTCTGTATTACCGACTACAGAACCATGGTACTGTTGTCCACTCAGAACTCCGTAAGTTTCCTCAGGAAGTACAGCCTTCGGCTCGCCTTACCAGCCACAATTTGTGAGTTTTTCTTCCAATGAACAAGTATAGTTTGAGATTTTTTTTTTTGCTGTTTGTGAAACAAGAGCCCGATCAAACAGTAGGCCCTCCACCATTGTTGATCAACACGTCCAACATCAGAACGTAACAAAGTAGGCCTAACGTTAGGCCCAACCAACCAAAGCCTATTGGATTTGGAGGCTAGGCCAAATATCAACATAGCCTTGGTTAGCTCAAGACTGAGGCCAGTCTACTGGGAGTCCAGTAGTCTGGTCCTAGTCTAGACCAGGACTTGATAAGCCTATGTGTCTTTATCTTTAGGCCAATGTCAAGCCCAATTCAAGTTGCAACTATGGTAGTAGGCCTACAGCCGAGTCCTTGCAGGGGGACGTAGAGTCTTGGTGCGAGATAGACCAAAATAACCCAGCTCACACTGATCCTCATTCCTTTCCCATTTTGAAGAAGCAATTTAATCATTATAATCAAGTACAGATTCAAATGGAGGATTGTCAGAGATGATGGCACATGCATTAGTAGTTCAAAATGTGTAGGCCTACCTAACAAAAGAAAAGTCGAAGTGAAAAAAGCTGGTGGTGGTCAGTATTCTTCATTCAAGTTGAAGGTGATCTCATCTGCATTAACAGTAAAATTCATTTCATTGAACATACAACTAGTCCACACATAATTTCATGGAAATATCTCCTAATGAATTGCCTGTTGTCATGACTCATGAATAATGAGGGGAAGTTAAGGAGACTAACTATAAAAGCCGAGTTAGCCTCCGCTCGAGCAAACAGTGAATCCTGAAGCCAATTCAGGTGAAGGTACCGAATGAAAGTACAACCTGCAACATGGAGCTGGGTATTCTTTGGCGTTGAATACAGCTATTGATGTAAGCCAGTATACATAGGTTGGTGGCGCTATATAAGAAGCACGCGGCAACTGCAGGACCTCGATTAGTTGAGTTTTTGAGGCAGCGCCTTCCCGCTCTTACCACGGACCGACACGGGTACACTGCACTAAATACGCGCCCATGAAATCGCACGAAATTGGCAAGAACGTTTACCGTATAGTTTTATTCTTCTACTCTGTGTGTTTCTTTTCAAACTTTGTGGCAATTTAATTTCAGTTTAACCTTACCTTTAAGTCTTTGTTTTAAATATCCACAATAGACAACATTAATCATCACGGTATAACTTTACAGAACAAATCGATCTTTTGGAAACTTACCAATCGATACTTCCCCGATGATATTGTTCCGCATTGTGCACTGTTTTGTTCATTTATTTCCACAGTTTTGCATACATACAATCTCAATTTTCAGACGCTATATACATACGGGGAAAGCTGTGGAGGTACCCACTAAAAAGCAAAGCTTATGATTGTGGGCCCTTGAAGCATTTATAGTTTAATACTGTTAAATAATTACCAACACACTAAAGACAAACACTAGACAGACAAGACACTTACACTGCATGTCAGTTACCAATTACCTAAGTTTGAAATAAAAAATAAGAATAGGGAAAATGAAAGAGAATAAGACCCCTGGAAGATTATATTATAAAGCTAATCAATTCAACAGTCAATGATAATTAATACCAATCATTCAATATGATTTTTTTGAAGTTCCGTTTGAAGATTCGCAAATTTTTCGAGGGTTTCAGATTCTCATTCAAAGAGTTCCATAATCTTGGTCCTTCATATTTGATTGTTTTTTAGCCAAAGATGTACGCATTAATGACAGATGAAAATTTGCACTTTGACGAGTATAATGAGCATTAACATCAAGATTCCTGGTCAAAAGCAATTTAATTGAAGATGGTACGGAACCAGTAACAAATTAATGCATAAGGGATCCTAACTGATGAAAGTAAATGTCTTTGATTTTCAACATCTTATGTTTGGAAAATAAAGGATCAGTATGAGCCTTAAAATTAGTAAAGTTGATAATTCAAAAGGCTCGTTTGGAAAAAGGAAAAGCCTGTAAAGATTACTTAGGGAGGATGCTTCCCATGCGAGAACACCATTACTAAGATACAATGATATTGAAGTATTGTAAAGGGAAGTTAAAACTACAGGAGGGATGAAATGTTGGATTCTATTGATAACTCCTATATTTCCTGCAATAATTTTAGAAAGGTAGTCTACATGTGTGACCCAGGTTAATTTAGAGTCGATATAAAGTATAAGAAATTTAATGCAATCGACTTTTTCCATGGATACATTATTTTAATGTCTATTGGAAGTTTATAACAGGTGTACTAAATAACATAAATTTGTTTTTTTAATATTAAGAGACAATTTGTTGACTGCAAACCAATTACAAATGGATCTCAGCCCATGATTAGCTGTATTAACGAGGGTTGAAAGATTGCTATTCGAAATAAATAAACTGGAGTCATCAGCAAATAAGATGAATGAACATACATGGGATGATGCAACAAAATCATTAATGTAGATCAGAAAAAGCAACGGATCCAATATTGACCCCCGTGGAACCCCACATTTTAGAGTCATCCGAGTTGAATTAAGCTACTTGCAGAAACGTATTGCTATTTGAAAGATAACTTCTGAGCCACTCCAGGGCTACCCCACGTACACCGTAATGAGATATATAGAGTATACAGCAAGATATAATGAGACATATAGAGTTTATATGGCAAGATGTCATGGTCAATGGTATCAAATGCTTTTGAAAGATCAAGGAATGTCCCTAGAGTATGCTCAGAGTTATCTAGAGCATTTGTTACTTTATCGACAAAGTTAAGAATAGCATGTGTAGGAGAGTGATGACTTCGATAACCGTACAGACAATCAGTTAGGATATTATAATTACCGAAAATGGGTCACTTGGGAGGCATTCCCATAGGAACGTGCACAACATTTTTCAACTCAGTGACATGTTGCAGTCATTTATTGGACCAAGATTCGGCCCGGCTTACTCAATGACATGTTGCGGTCATTTATTGGACCAAGATTCGGCCCGGCTTACTCAATGACATGTTGCGGTCATTTATTGGACCAAGATTCGGCCCGGCTTACTCAATGACAAACAACATTGACAGGGGGCGAGGGGGGAGGCATGTTTCAACGAGATTTGTCCAGGATTGTAGCCGACGCTGGATTAAAGATCGAATCTATTCTCACAGTTCGAGCGTCAGTAAGAACATTTTGTTCTCTTGCACAATGGACAAGAGTGGAGGGAGGGACGTGGTTGAAGTCAGAGAAACAACTCCAAAGATGGAGATTCTTTGATTTGAATAGACTCACGTGCTTCGCATTCTCCCTGATTCCAATCAACCGAACGGAACCCAAATTCCCATTGAGCAATTTGCTATTCAACTACTTTTCTCTTACAACGTTGTCAACTTTCCTTGTTCCACTAAAATCCGCGTGCATACTTCAGGCAAATGCAAAAACCAAAGCAAATTTGGCCTCACCTAACATTTGCATCGAAATTCTCCTAGTTGAAATTATGTTCTGCTGTTGCAAATTCATAGCGCAACTATTTTGACCTGACGTGACGAAATTCTAGCTCTTTTACGCTTTTATTTGTAGAAAGTGTAAACCACAGTTTTGCATTTTATTGTGGAATACTTCCCTAGGTTACCAGCTCGGCGAGATGGTCCCTTGGGCCAGGCTGGAGTATAGGCTCTTGGTGAGTGTCAAATCTATTTGCACGAGCGCGGCGTGAGGGAGGCAGTTCTCGATCCTGAGGGCGCTATAACTGGTTCACCACAGGAACAGCTCAGTTTAAATGTACTGCTGCTGGGGGGGTTTGAATCATGTCTACTATATACATGTATTTAGGTCCTAACAGTATTTACGACTGGTTCTTGAGCACAAGTAGAATTTTTGTCTGCAGTCTCTCCCTATCATGTGTGCAATCTTGTCCCATTTGATTATGACAAAATGTACGTTATTAGATTCAAAATGCATTTAAACAATTAAATTATTACACTGAACAATTAATATTAACACTTGAGCACAAAAACAGAGGGCAACATCTAGATAACTAGGTGAGGCTAAAAGCTTTTGTACCCCGACCTGGGAGTGACAAGGACAAGGACTATACAAACATTAAATGTACGGGAATGAGACAAGACTTAACCACGGCTGAATCCATCTATCCGACGGGTACATTGTTTGATAATTAATTGGCATTACTAATTTTACAAATATGTATTAAGTAGTGTCATTTTCAGTTCACGGAGTGTTTGATTATGCATGGAGTACATTGGAGTGGAGTGCCCACATGGAGCTTTACATTGACGCATTTACACGTGTAGAGAGTACACAATAAACGTGACTCCATGAGAAGTTAGATATTTGAGTATGTCATCATCAGTCTTGCGATTTCAGAGTCACTTACAGGCTTCTTCGCTCAGTCCATTGTGAAAGCATGAGTTGGGTGCTTTACCAGTCGAATCTTATGTAATTTGTTGTATCCTACGTGCCGTGAAGGCGAATAATTAAAGTAAGCACCAAAAAATCCAACAGCGAAGGGTATAGATTGAAATGTTGCAAAGGATATCAAAAAATTAACCCAGAAGAGACTGACCCTGCCCTTCCTTATCCGGCAGATTAATCTGCTTTCACTTCTTTCAAGTAGTAGCCCTGGTCGTGCATTGAATCTTCGCCCTGTGTTGTAATTAGACGCGGAAATACCAGCTACGTAGTATTAATAACCTGCATGGTATAGTAAAGTACTGCTTATTCCAACGTCCATTACTTGTTTTGGTCGTGAATTGTTGTTAAAACGATCAGAAGGCATAGTTCAAGTCGTTTACAAAGTATTTACTTCAAGTTAACTGGGTAAAATGTGAATTTGTTAAATCCATTATTTTATCATTACCAATTTTAACCCCGTTTTTGAATCCGTTAAATCTGCATTGAACTGGCCCTACCTTATATGCCAGGATTTGCAAACTAAAATGAACAATAAAATTCGTATTCCGATTGGACACAACCCAAAAGTCAAGAAAGGGTTAAAGTTCAATTCAAAATTGTAAATTTTAATATTAAAATGCGGCGAGCATTGAAATATTTATGGGTATATTGTATTATGCTAAGCAAACACGGAACCTAGGATAAAACAGCCCACATTTGAGGAATGAAGGGAGAGAGATCACTTCAGAAGAGACAGGGGTACCAGGCGAAAAGTGTGCTACAAACTCTTCTGTACAACAGTTGAAGTAATTCACTATGGTTGTGTTTCGGGCCGTAGGTTTCCTTGTTTTAAGCACAATAATATTCCAACCGGTATTGGGAAGCAAGATTTTGGTCGCTGCTACCGCTGGAATGTCCAGTCATTTGATCTCTGGGTTGGAGATTGCTAAGACTTTGTCCGCACGAGGAAATAGAGTCTGGCTCATTATCGAAGAGGAGACCTACAACACATACGTGCATGGCCGTATAGAAATCCCCGATCAGATTAGAATCGTTTTCTTTAAGCTTATGTCTGTGTCCCACAAGGACGCAGACATTTACCTTCGGCGATACATTTTTAAGCAATTGCGGTACAGCCAGGCCAACTCGGCCCTGCAGTATCGTACTGAAGCCGAGGATCGCGAGATAGAAAAGCGCCTCGGTGGCAAAAAGGTTGACGTCTTCAAAGCGTCCAGTTTCGTCATCAACGACATGCTTGGAAACAAGGAAGTTATCGAGAATCTAAAGACAGTAGGATTTGACATGATAATCGGTGATATGGTGCCTTTATACCATGTAATTCTCAGCCAAGTTCTGAACGTGCCGTGCATTCACTACAGCGTGCTTTCTATGGTACCATCGCAGCATGACCGCTTTGCTTTCAACCCAAGTTATTCAGCCTACATGCCCGAACGTCTGAGCTCGCTCACCGATGTCATGACTTTCCGAGAACGCACAACAAACGCCCTCTTATACTTGATCACGGGCTACTTCTATTATCATTACATGCTGACACCAATGGACGATGTTTTGCGTAAGCGCAACATCAGACCAGATGCCAACTTTGGCCAGCTCCTCTCCGAAGCGGCCATGTGGATTTTCAACTCCGATTTTGTGTTTGACTTCCCACGACCCTTCAGTCCACACGTCAAGTTCGTCGGCGGTGTCCTGACGGGTCCTTCCAAACCACTTGATGAGGTAACTCGCTTCACGATACGATTTTGATGTATGGGTCATTCCATGAGGTTGGGGCAAGAATTGTGACGATGTTCATTTCATTATTGAGGTTCTGTAAAAATGAACAGCTATTTCTCTGCATGTGGATTCCAAATTGATGAACATCTTGCAAGGCTAAATACAGAAATGTGTGTTAGTTTTAGCGAGTAAATGACCTACTCTACTGGTCATGACAGATGGTAACAGTTGCCCATGTAACAAGGACGCCGTCACAAATTGTGCCCCAACATCATGAAATGACCCATATACCTTCACCAGTGTGTCAAGATGGTCGGAGATATTCGCGGAAAGCCCTTGCAAAGAGCCCCGGGGTGGATCGCCGAGTGTTAGGCATTAAAAGTAGGGGTTTTTGAGTCAAAACGTGTTAGTTCTGATACCGGATTGCCTCAGTATCTTACCGGGCTTGCCTTGTCTTGAACCAGTCTCCCATCTAAAACGGTGCTGTTTCCTATCCGCCGCCACTGTGTGCTATCATTGCATTGTCCTAATGAATATCTCTGTACCCCTTTCATATTTAATCTGTATAACATCTACAATTTTGAAAAAGCTGGTCCGTTAATGTGAATGATCTGTTTATTCTTCTAAAAGGAGTGGCAGTCGTTTGTTGATGGCGCCGGTGAACATGGTATTGTCATTATGACATTGGGCACTCTGATAAGCGATGAACTGACGGACCAACAAGCTGAGAGCATCGCCTCAAGTCTAGCGCTGCTTTCCCAGAAGGTGGCCTGGAGTTACAGTGGAAAACTGCCCAAGACTCTAGGCAACAAC